TGCATATTTTATTTAAATAAAAAATGTGCATAAATACCAAATATATGTAAATATATCAAAAATAAGCAATAAAAATTTGGACAAATAATTATTTTTTTATTAAGAATGCGATTTTCTTGATTTGGAATTTAAAAACTATGATAGTACTGCAAAAAAGAAATAAGTGAGGTTTAGTTAAAAATTTTTAGGTAATCCTTGAGTAATTTTAAAATAGAAAATAATCTCTCGTCTCCCGTAACTTGCAGGAATAAATCAGGCGTTGAAGTAATATTGATTTTCTCTTTAACTGTATTTAAAATTGATTTAAAAATAAGACATTCCTCTATAGTTTTATTAAAAAGTAAAATTTTATCATACTTTTTTTTTAATTTACATCGTTTCACATCTCGTTGAAATCATCATCTAACGTACTTGTATTCAATAATAATCCAATTTATCTCTTAATTAGATCATGTATTAAATTATACTTTTATAGGTTATTACAACTTAATGTAAACTCAAGGTTAACCTTGTAAATTATTAGTTTACTTTTATCAAATAAAGACAGAATGCCACTTCAGTAAAACCTTAAAGAGGCTACCTCCACTATACATCATTTTTTGTGTAAGCTTTGATTTATTAATTTAACTACTTTATATATGCTTTAAGACTTGTTTTTAAAATAATGATAAGGCCTTTCATGCGTCGACCCTAGCAGACCCCCCAGTGACTGATAAATTAGTTTTTGTAATTCTCTCTTAATTTCAGATTAAAAAAAATTCCGTTGTTGTCTCTTATCGAGTGGTTACTTGAGATTTAAAATTTTGAATTATGATTAGCTTGTGCACTTAGAAAATAATGGGTTTTTTGAAATGCACAAGAAATGACCTTCTAATAAAACTTATTTCTACAATTTAACTAATCAAAATATGAAATTTTAGGTACGTTGGAAAACATTTTATTGTTGATTTGTTTATAAATTATTAGTTTAGTCATTATAAAATATCAATCAATCAATTTTCTTGTTTTCTATATTTAATGTATTGCGTATTTGTTTAAAACGGTATTATGTTGAAAACAAATTATTACTTTCTTATTACAAAATCACATTTTTCCGTTCTATAATAATAAGATGACTACTTCTAAAAGATTTATTTAACATTTTAAAAGGAACAAAGGGTCTGCTGTCATGTGACTTTTACCAGCCAATAAAACAAAGGGATAAAGTGGCCATTAGTCCACTTGTGTTGATGGATCTCCAAGTTGTTGTAACCGTTTTCTTGTTGGTATTTCATTTTTTAAGCAATGTAGTATATATATCATATATGGACTGTATAAAATTAAGCATTACTAAAATGGTGCAACCATTAAGAGGTGCAAAATCACATTTAAATATTCTTAATAATTTTCTTTCATTTCATTACCAAAACCTAAGTAGGTAAGATTGAAAAAAATATGTTCGTTTTGTTTTAAGATAAAAGATTTAAAAAGGTAGTTTTTATTTCTTATTGTAATGTGTGAATATTTTACTAAACCTTAAACATATTCCAAACATATTCATTCCAACGAAAATATTGTATTTTACAATGAAACCTGTTACACTACTATTGCATGTGCCTGAAGTTAAAAAATAGAACTTTCTAGCCTAAGGATGGCGTTAGCAGAAAAAAAGGATTTTCATTATAATGATGGCCTCTTGTGTTATAAATCTGTAACATGTTTGAATTGGTGTTTTAAATATATAAAATAATATTTCGTGATAGTTATTTTGTTATATGTTAATTATAATTTGATTTTTTTTTTCAATCCGAATGCACAATACATTTGTTTTAATTTTATAACTCATATTTTAAATTTTAGACTAAGGAAACAACTCTCACATTTTAACTACTGTGATGTAGTTTATGATTTTTTTATTGATAACGAATGTAAGTGCCGTATTCAAATCTTGCAGACCATGTATCTGCTGCATATCGTCAATTTAATTGGCTTAAAATGGAACAAAGAAGAGCTCTTCATTTCAACATATTCGTTATGAAAATTATCCATAACCTCGATCACTTTGCTGAGAGAGCGGCTTACTCCTAGGAGTACTATCCATTCTGTGCATGGGAGATACAGGCACAGAGTAACGATGCCACATCATCAGAGTGCCTTGTTTCGTAGATCTTCAGACATTCAACACAATTCGTGTTTATAATTCTTTTAATTCTTTGTTCCAGGAATTCAGTAACTTAAATTTACATTCATTTAAAAAAAGGTACAAAGATCATTTGTTACAAATATGGTTTTACTAATAATGTGTTACTAATTATGTTACATTGACTTATCAAATTCTTTATCTTCAATTGCATTTTCTGTAGTGTGTAGTGGAGTTATGTTGGTCTTCCGAGTTTGTAGGTATTTTTCATGTTTTATTCGTTGTTCATCCATTTTTTATTTCAATAAGTAGTGCGCAATTTATATATATAGAGAAATCTTCCATTTTCGCTGAAATTTTCAGTAGTTTCCTTTCTTCGCTTACATTTTTTAAACATTTTATGTATCATATTATTTCATGCTCACTTACTTCTTAGAACCTCTTATATTTATAGGTACCTTTGTCTTCTATATTTTAATTTTAGTGAATCCATAAGGAAAAACTCATTAAAACAAACTAACGCTTTTAAAAAAGTATTGGATGAACCACCTCAATTCGTCGACCTGGGAAATAATGGAGATAATTCTATTAAAAACTACGTCTGATAATTAGACGTCGAACCGCGCGTGGTTTAAACAAATCGCTGAATAACAAACGGCTCGTTCGTTTGCTCCTATTCACGAGTTTCGAGGCGGTCAAATTTTAAACTGGCATCTGATTTGCAAACAATCGGCCAACGATGAGCGTTAATATGTTATCTACTGGATGTGCATATGGATAAATTCCAGGGCCCTTCAACTAGTGGAAAAAACACCTTCTGACTAACAATGTCAACAACAAAAAATTAAAAACGTTCCATGTCGAACTCAAAGTTGTCTTTCCGTCTTATTTCTGGAGATTAAGCAGCCAAAAATCTAACCAAACTTAGCAAAACCGTCGTCAGTAATTACCTCGTTTATTTATATATGTGAGACAATATTTCAATGTTGCAACTAAAAGACAAATATGGGTTAATATCTAGTAGCCCTACTACTAATACAACTGAAAACTACATGTGTAAGAACATTCTTGATAACTCAAGAACACCTCTAGCACCCTGCTTATCACTACTTTGAGGAAGCGGCAAGCGTCATGTCATGTCGTGAATCCGTGCGTGTTTTGCAAAAATACACTTAAAATCTAAGAGTAGTTGAAAAAGTATAGTATGCAACACGTTCGGTAAACTTTTTAAGTCACTCGTTTATTAAACACTCGCTCCACTTGGCACTCGTGTCAAATATACTAGTGAGTCAAATGACGTTTACCGCACTTGTTCCATAATATACTATTGTTGCATAATATACTATTTTCTACTCTCTTCTGTATCATACCCAATTAAACACCGATCTAGCGTGCGGTAAGCGTCACTTTACCACGTCAGTTACGTTTCCCACGGATCAGAGCTACTCCGGATATTTCCGGGATATTACCGCACGCATTTAGGAGTAATCGGATGTTTTCTGAGGTGTTACCAGACATCTTTAATTTTGACGTTTGTCAATTCTGACGGTCATGTCAGTGAATGTATTTCTGTTGTTTTCCGAAAATGTACCCAAAAACTAACGGTCAAAGAAAAAGTATAGTATGCAACACGTGTGGTAAAGTTTTTAAGTCACTCCTTTATTAAACACCCGCTCCGCTCTTGCGAAATAAACTCGTGACTCAAATGCCGTTTACCCATCTTGTTGCATATTATACTATTCTTATTTAAGTTTTCCAATCAATTGTAGATAAAACAACTTCATCTATTAAGAACTCGACATATTTTGAAGGCTGTCTGCATAACTAAAGACTAGTTTTATGTCCAGCATAAAGGTTTGCCAATGAGTTCCTCATTCTTTGACTTCGATGTATTGACGGTACTTTTTTATAAGCCGGAATGACATCTATAGGGAGCTACATTTCTTTCTTATTCACCTCATATTTCAATGTGACTGTATCAAATTTACCACTGAGAAAAAGAAGAAACTCTTTTTAACGCATATAGGAAGCTAACCCATATTGGAGAATATCCACGTTCCAGTGACCAAGTGTCCGATGCTTGCTTGAAACATTAAAAACAGATTTGCCGCATAGTGGTTTATACTTGGGAATATCTCAGTAGTATTATAATCAGAGGTAAAACAGTCACTCTTAAGGATTTCGTGGGTCAAAGATGTGGAGGAAGCGACCAGGTGAATAGCAAAATAATGTAACAAAAGAGTTAAGTCAGAAGCTATTTTAAGAAGTGCCTTGACACAAACCAGACCAGAAGTATCGAATCGAGTGAGAGTCCATCTATCACTCGAGGGACACAATAATAATCTGCGATCACAGAGCACGTTTAAAATGCTCAGAGGCGTGTGTTTGCAAGGAAAGAGCAAATTTAATGAAGCCGTTTTAGTAACTCAAGCGTGGATTGGTACCTACTTATAAAGCGCAATAATACTTGTTCACTAAGTTGTTGTCAGTAGTATAAGCGCAGTATTTTTAGTTTAGTTTACACTTGACAGGGATCCACGTGTCTCTAATTAAGTTTAATAAAATGGACGTTCTTTTAGTTTCATCGATCACTATCCTAACACTAAACAACTGACTTTAAACATAATTGTCTACATTTCAGATATAAAGTCTGTTCCAGAAGGATAGATGTAAAATTCATTCGCAGGAGTACAATGGTGATGTTGCCAAAATTTAAGTTAGTACAAAAGTTTATGATTCGTTTCCCCTACTGTTCGATGTCCAGTTGATCGTTTGACTCGACGCACCCTGTGCACGTTCATAGAACAATTGAATTTTGGCATTTCATTACCCGAAATCCGATAAACAATCGCGTTTATGGCACATCGGCGGGTATAGGAGTTGTAAAAATGATCGTAATATTAAAAATCGTCGCCGGTCTGGCGGCCGTTTTGTTCTGCGTGAAACTGTATGTCGTGCACACCACCAAAAGGTGCACCAACTGCGTGAGTTTGATCGGTAAAACTGTCGTTGTCACCGGAGCTAATACCGGTACGTAAAAATTGTGAACACATTTTTTTTGAATGACTGTCTTAGGCTCTGTTCACTGATATTTATCACCTTGACCTTCACCGTCCTAAGATAGTCGCTATTAATTGGTTGATCCCCTTGAAAGTTTTTCAGATGAACTTAGGGATTTTAGCAAATTTATCACGCCATTGTAGGAAGGTGCTTTCCAAGAGAACTAATAATTTGTTTTTGAATTAAATCTCAACGAATGTAAAAAACGATTTTAAATATCTGCTTCGTCGTCATCCGACAATTGAATCCAGCCATTATATAAAATTGTTGAACTTTACCAAATAATAGATTTTTAATTAAAATTCTTTTATCTGTGTGATTCGGTTCTAACTTAAAATTTCTAAAATTTTGAACCTACACTTTATTTTTTGATGCATATTATTCATCCATTTTAGAAGTAACTCCATGTTTATAGACAGTACTCAGATAATGTTCTTTCAACATGATTCAGTAGATAATAAATCTTAAGGTAGATCGCTCGAGTCAGTTCCTTTCAAAAACAAAAGTTAAGTTTTAATTTAACACATTAACCATAATAGTGTAATTTTTTTAAATTTGGATCATAGAAATAAGAATTTTATGAAGTAATTAAGAATATATAGATAAATTTTAGAAATGGATATAACATGGTACTGACATTCAGCTGTTATATTGTAGGATCTTCCTGAATGACAAAATATGTAATATAAAAATTATGATGAAATATGTACCGAGTATCCCATTTTGAACACTTTTACGGGGTATCTCAATTATTTTTAAGGATAGAGGGTCGCGGTTTACTCAACAGTGTGCTACTTTTTTGTGAAATTAAAGATTGAGATGCAGGGTGAAATCCAAAACTATTGGTGGGACTCCGTTGTCTTATAAGTTATTGAAGAGTTAAAAAACCAATTATATATGACTTTTTTCGTAGCATTCAGCGACAGAGTTTGTTTTTTGTTTTGCTATAACAGTTTTTTAGTAATGTTAGTAAGTATGTACATATATTTTTTTGAAGGGAACACGCTACATATTATTTTTGACATTAATTGGAAATCATTAAGCTTTTCATATATATATATATATATATATATATATATATATATATATATATATATATATATATATATATATATATATATATATATATATATATATATATATATATATATATATATATATATATATATATATATATATATATATATATATATATATACATATACCTTCAGCTAGATGGTACCCCAAATCATAATTTAAAACCATTTTTAGATGAACACTTTCCTTGAAAATGGGTAGGTACCATCGGACCTGTAAGATAGCCCGCGCGATCTCCGGACCTTTCAGTTTAAGATTTCTTTTTATAAGGATATAATTTCGTTGACGGCATCTTTAATCTCACAAAAAAGTAGCATGGTGTGGCGTAATCTGCGACTCTCCATTTTTAAAAATTACTGAGATACTCCATAAAAATGCCTAAATGATATGTATATGATCATCTAATTAATACAAAAATTTCATTAGTAGATTATTAATTAATCACCAGCGAGAACAAACAATACAGGACATTAAAATCACAGTTAAAGCAGAATCATCAAATCGGTTCTTTCCAACCTATGTTAAGTTTAGGTATTTTCCAACTCCAACAAAATTACTTCTATATTTATAAACCACTGTCAGTTGTGCTTTTCAACTTATATTACGAAACTAAATCAATAAAATATATTTTAAACACTGTAACTCATCCGTATATCAAACATGAACTGAAACAAAATAACAACTTTTAACGAATGCCCAGTCGCACCAAACTGTTCAACTATTGGTGGTAGGGAGTAATCATCATTTCGCATTATCCATTCTTGTAAGATTTTCAGAACAACAACAACAAACCGTTTTGTTAAATTTCCGAATACCCTTTTTACCGTTATCTCAATCGAAGTATTCAAAACCGACTAACGAATGGAAATTTAGCTACATTAGTATTTATTACTTAAACAGTATACTCCTAAAAACAATTTCATTCCATTAATACAGAATATTTTTCAGTATCTCCATTTTTGTTACCTCAAACTTTTATCTGCAAAACACCATTCAATTTAGAGACTTTCATGGCTCTTGAATTTTTTTATAAGCATTTCTAGATACCTCAAATTGCTTTTAAAAAAAATAACCGCTATCAGCCAAAAGGTAAAAACAAGAAGAAATTGATATTAGGTTTTAATTGTAACGTCTCAATTCTGTATCGCAAAACTTATTCATTAATGCAAGAGGAATTTCCTAAATTTTGTTTGATTCTATCCATTGACACCGAAGAGACACTACAGCAATAAGAAATATGTTTTTAATTTTTTCGTTTTCTTTGTTTTGTTGAAACTTTTCATTGTATCTGTACTTACCTAAAATGATGATGCATAAAATTCTCAAATGCCATTTTTAATTGATAAGTAAAATTCTGTCCAGAGAGCGAATATTTTTCGGACCACCAATACAATTAAGTACTATAAAACAAAATTCGTCACATTTAGTTGTACCATCAAAGCAGTGTAAGTAAGTAAATAAAAGTGACCTCATAAATGTGAAAAAATGTGCTATTATTATAGAGACTGATGTCAAAAATGCTGCAATACTTTGGAGTTTGCGAAGAACCAATCAAATTGCTCTTTGGCCAAAATACCTATTTTCATAATTACAACAGCATTTTTATGCCGTCTCTTTATGGTAGACGTCAGTGGGTGCTACAGTTTGTGCAAATATGTGAGACTACTGGAAACTTTTTGTTTGCAGAAAATCGTGGACAAGCATTATATCTTATTATTTGTTAATATTTTAACTATTTTTCATGCTTAATAAGAAATCTTTGCAATGTGTTACATATCAATCCGTTATTGGTAATTACGAACGTTATTATTTACAATAGCAATAATATACACAAACTTACTCATGAAGTTCCAATAGAACCATCTATTAATTTATAATAAATAATTTGGTTTGTCAAAAATATATGCTTCTTAGTCAAAAGCAACTCCAATGGTATAAGCACCGTTTCGCTTGTAACCTCAAAAATAGTTTCTAAAACCATAACCCCTCTTAATAAACACAAATGATGTGCTCCGATTGATCAAACTGACAGGGATCGTGAGGCATTTTATAATGTCCCGCTGTTTCAACCGAGACACTCGAGAGCACAAAGGGGTGGCGAAAAAATCCGGGAAATATTAAATTCCTGAAATTTTCATGGGATGTAATATTTCCTGGCGGATTATTTCTGCCGCGTTTCGTTTTTCCCTAGCATTAAGCCAATTTAGATAATTAAAGAGAACTTGTTATTAAATGCCGAAAAGCATAAAGAAGTACAGCATCGAATAGAATAGAATAAATTTTTATTCTGCGAATGTGTATGTTTTAACTGTACTCAGATACCTATAGGCGCAACTTGACTTTTGTATTTGCTCTCTCTTGAGACCTAAAACCCATAATAAAATCTGTGGTTGTGTGTCGAAATAGAATCGCTGCTCTTACCTGAATTTAACAAAAAAGGACAAATTTCAATGCCAAACAACCGGGTAAATTACTCCTTAAGATTTATAAATGGCATATGGTATTTCTAATAAATTAGCAGCTGTGGGCAGTATATAAAAAATATATAAAAAACAATTAATTCAAAAGTATTTATTGCTTCATTAAAATTAATGTTGTCCGATTCAAAGTAATACACCTCTTCACAAAAAAAGGAAAAATGCAAACTGTGAACATATATTAGTGGCATGTTTACCAACATAAAAAAAAATTCGAAAATTGAATGTACGAAGCCCGCCCAATTACAAAATTCACCTTACTTTTTGAACACACCTCGTATATAAAAAATGAATTGATACCGTTTGAATGTCCGCTCACCGCATGTACTAAAATAACTTTACTTGCATATACATATATGTTTCAGAGCATCTTACAATATTAGAAAATATGACAGGATCAGTCACGTTAGACGCTGAAGCTTAAATATCTACCTTAACAAACGTAAAAAAACCAATCATCCGCTCAATGTTTCTGAAAAGCTTTATAATCTTTTAGGAAAATAAATGTACTAATAGAATTGTTACTTTTACATTACGGTATTATTTCAAAGACCTTTTTCATATGAAGCTCCTAAATTGATGAAAAATGACATTACATTGGCATTCGCGATAATAAAGACACATTATGGTTGGCGGGCATTTAGAAGTGCTCGCAAATATTCACTAAACCTTTGCCACTACATCTTTCCGTCAAGCATTCATCAAAAGATTTATTTTGCTCTTATTTATACCAGGAAAGAGAAGACGAAGTCGATATAATTATTAGTACAATACAAATAAATGTTTAGGCGGAACATATTTTTATAAAGCTGGGACTGTCTAGAAGAAAATGTCTCAAAACAGGTCCTCCATCTTGAAAATCGGTACTTTTGTACAAAATCTTGTTATATTTCCAAAACTCTCATATATGTCAAAAAATATCAAGAGAGCAAAATTGAAAGGCATAAAAAAATACGTAGGAAATTTTTAGCATTGAAGAATATAATAGCTACAATTTTTTTAAAATAGTAAAAATTTGCACCAGTTATTATGATATCAGAAAGCTACAACATCTATCAATAAATATAAAATAAAATACACTAATGGGAATGATTTGAGATATGTAATATTCTAACTGACATGTCACAAAATCTGTATATTTTTTATAATGTTTACGTGGTATAGCACCAAATTTTCCGACTTCTCCTGCTTTCAGAATTTTACTGGCTCCTCCTATTTTATTTGGCACTACGTAAGCTTCTTTTGGAGTTCGACCATTCCCCCGATAGAATGAAATGTCCCATACCACTCATGGGTTTTTATATAATGATCCGCGTTAACAAACACGAATTGTAGGAATGCTTCATTCGTTACTTGATGCTCATGGTGCCGAGCAGCTGACGATTCGAATGTTAAAGGTTTTTTGTGCGTGTCCGC